AGACAGTGAGCTGTTCACATTACCTGCAGTTCCATGGAGAGGACTATACACTATCCAATTACAGCATTTGGTGTAACTTTAAACCCAGAATTGATAATGAGTAGTAGAAATGGCTTCAGACCATTTTTCTGGATGAATCCAATTGTTTAGACTTTATATTGTTCTCAACATCCCACAGCAACTCATGTCCAGGTGCCTCCTTGAGCCCTTGATCCTGTATCTCCTCCCAGCCTCTGAGATCAAGGACCTTACGGATTACGGGCTACTGAAAGCATCTGGTGGTAATCAGATGCTATCATGATGGCATTGTCACTGGAGACCACATTCTGTTCTCTCATACTGAGCCCAGTCCTCATTTTTGAGGCAGTACGTGTGAGGATGAGCCCATGCTGGGATCTTCGCACGCCCTCTTCTTTGGACACAGTTCACTAGGCTCCAAGAAGTCTCTCATGTGCACCTATGAAGTGTCCTGAGTCCACGATAAACCAGGACAAGTCTCTCATGTGCACCTATGAAGTGTCCCGAGTCCACGATAAACCAGGATTGGCATCAGCTCAGCCTCGTGCTCCCCACTCTCCCAGTTCTATGAGGGTCTTCACTCTCCACTGGAGGATGAGGTGTCTCAAAGATAGGGTCATAAAAGCCAGTCCTGAGCACTGAACTGGTTTTACAGTTCATAAACTGGGGCTATATTGTAGTTATTTAATATCCTAGTGAATAAGGAAAACAAAAAATCCCCTTTGGCTCAGATGAAGCCCTCAGAATTTTTCAGAGCTACCCTGGACTTGCACCAGATTTTTCCTTTTACTGACATGTTTAACACCAGGGGAGGAAAATGCTACCCTTGCAAAACTCATCCATCCAAGCCTTTGAGAACTGGTCCATATGGCAATGTGTATGTGTGCTACACCTGATGCCAGATACCATATGCATGGTAAGAAAACAGTTTTAATTGTATACTCTCCTGAGGAATAACAAGCGTGATGATTTATCAGGCATCATATCACATGGCAATAGCAGAAAATAGGCATTCAAGCTTAGTTTCATAGGCATTTCCCTTCCTGGCTGGAGAACCTAGTCTTATAACCTAAGATATCCAGAGCAGATTACTTACTTATCATTATGTGTATCAGTAAGTCTAGTTAAGAGATCTTCTGAAAAACACAACAGGAATCGTCTTGGACACAAGGCACTCTCATGTTTATGTTTCTTTTACTTCAACTAACAGTTTTTTCCCATCTTTGATCAAAGATCTTGGCTGATATGACCTCAGGCTGATGATCTAACAAACCTTCTAGATTTCTTTTTCTCAGATACCAAATCTAGTAAGTCTTTTGGCTCTATGGCCAGGAAAGCCAGCCAAATATGTTCCTTACATCTTGATAGGGTCCATAAAATGTACATGGTCTGCAGAAGGACAGAGCAAGGTGTGGTTACGCCGGCCTGTAAGACTTCACAGAAAAAAAGCAGTGAGAAAACCAAGTTGACTGCTGAAACTCGTCTTCATTCACCAATGTCTTCGTACACAATTTTTTCTCCCTACTGCTTATGAATATCCTTTTTTGAGCAGGATGTGCATGCAATGTAACATAAATATGCTTACATATACTTATGCATATATCTTTCACATACACGATTTAAGTTCTCCCATACAGCCATGGGAAATCTCTAGAACTAAAAGCAAGCTGAAGAAGATGAAATACTGTGCAGACTAACAGGAAAGATGAAACGCGGTATCTATGTATTCCCTAAGAAAAATATTTATCTCTAATATATACTAAAAGCTTTCTTATGTGATCTGGATGCAAAATTTCTAGGGACATGAGGGTTTAAAAATGACTTAATTTTAATATTTTCAAATGTGTATGTGAGTTGCATAAAATACATGGGGCTTACAGCACTATAAAAATGCGTGCATAGTTTGCAGCATAAATTAGGTTAATAGCTCAGCATAAGATCCCTATAAATACAAGGGTTATGCTGGTGGGCTTTTTTGCAAATTATTCCAATAGGAATTATTGTGGGAACTCCCACTAAGTTTCCACCCAGCAGCATTGAGGCATTTGAGCTGTAGCAATTTGTTGTGCTGCCCTCTCAGTCCACAGCAGCACCCTGAAGCTGGCTGGTGTCAGCACCTGAATACACATTTGCTTTCCCTGCAGATATTGTTCCTGTTGATATTTTTCAGCTAGACGGATGACTGCTTGCCAGACCTGAGAACTGATTTTACTTACGCCGTAGCAGAATTGTGCCGAATACAGAAACCTGTCACTTCTGTCAGTGCGGAGTGGCGGCTGTATTGACCCTAGTTGAGGCTGAACATTACCCCATTCAGGTGGCAAAGCAAGTACCAGAAGCATAGCCACAATCCAGGAATTGTTAAGAAAGCAACAGCTGGGAGGCAAGGTTATCGCCTGGTGTGTTGTGTTTACATTAAAACAAAAGTTTAAAGCAGAGAATGTTTGCTTTTAGCTTAACTCCAAAACAAAAATAACTATTTTCATGAAATTCCAGGTACTCGGAGATATATTTTTTTTCTTTTTTCCAAATTGATGTTTCGAATTGGAATAGGATACATTATAAATTATTCCCAGGATTCAGTGTACAATATTTTGGTGCATACCATATATCCAGGGAAGTACTGACATTGGAGAGCATTATAATCTCATAATTTAATAGTAATTTTTAACCTGACACACAGGAGAATTTTGCATTTTATGTAATCTTCTTGGTATTAGAAATAAAGCAGAAGTCTTGTTGGAAGGTCTCTCCTCTGTCCAGGCAGACACTCCCGTGCAGACAGGGCCTTTGCATCCATCACTGCTGTTCATAGCAATAGTAAATAAAATTTATCTAGAAATTGATTCAGCCTGGCCAAAGTGGAGCAGGATGACGGCCACGATGTGAACAGTAATAGCTGGTTTGTTTGTAGAAGGGGGGTTTTTTTGTAATTTATTCCTACGAACAACACGGAGGAGAAAAAAATTTATTCTCATGCAATTTCTCATATCCCATAAATTATTTCATTGCATTTTATGAATGTTCAGTTCAATTCACAATAATTTTCCAATTTCAATCTTATCTTTCTGATGACGGCCACGATGTGAACAGTAATAGCTGGTTTGTTTGTAGAAGGGGGGTTTTTTTGTAATTTATTCCTACGAACAACACGGAGGAGAAAAAAATTTATTCTCATGCAATTTCTCATATCCCATAAATTATTTCATTGCATTTTATGAATGTTCAGTTCAATTCACAATAATTTTCCAATTTCAATCTTATCTTTCTACTTTACATAACCAGTGCTTACTTGGGCTCTTTCCTGTGACAGGCATGGTATATTGTGCTTATTAATGAGTGCCATCTTGCTAAGCAAGGCACTGTTATAATTGATGTTTTGAACCTTGCACACTTTAAAACATTAATCCAGGAACAGATAAGCAAATGAAATTCACTGCTGTGATGGACATGAAAATAATACTTCTACTTAGTTCTCACTACCCAGTTCAGATTTTTGTCATTGTTCCATAAGTTGCAAAGTTATTAACAGTCAATTAAAAGCTTGTCTGTCTGGGAAAACGCTTTCAGCAAGTCTTTTTAACCTTTAGGCCTACAATTTCCAGCATGTGTAGTCATGACTGCTATGATATATTGGTTTAAGATAAAATTATATTTAACATTTTTTGGTTTATTTTGTGGTGAATGCCTTGTGAGGAATTGAAAGCAATTAATTTGCTCCCCGCCTACAGCACAGTGCTCAAAAGACATAGCAAGATGCACTTTGAACCAGGTAGCAGTTTTCATCTGAAGGATATCAAAGTGCTCACTGCAAGGTGGGAACCACAGTAGTGAAAAGCTGGGAGATGTTGGGATTTAGAAAACTACAAAAATGTCTGTGTATGCTATGACTCTATGTCACATGGACATAAATTAGCTTTTGAATCATATAAGTGTTCTTGCTCTCTAAAATACTTAATGGTTTCAGATATAACATACCAAGGAGTTACATATTTCAGTTTGGTCTTTATATTGTTTTACATCGGATAGACCTCTACCTATTTTCAGTAGTGCTCACACAGGTTGTCCTTATTTCTGTGTAACAAGGCAAACACTGAGGATCTTATTTATTGGGTTTGGGTCCTTTGGGAGAGGCGAGCTATTATTTAATTTTTAATTAATATGATGAAATGTTTATTAGGGCACAACATGTAAGCACTGAGTAGCGTGGTGAGCAAGCCTGAAAGGGCTTTTTCCCTGGAGGTAGGATGTGGGATGACCCACCCATTTTGCACCCACAGGCACCCATTAGAGGTGATCGGCTGCTGATTCCCTCCAGAACACATCTGGCTTTGAGAACCCTCACACTGCAGGGGGCCCGAGCCCTCCAGCTGGTGAGGTTTATCATCCTTATATATAACCAGCTGGTTGATGTATAGCTACAAGATCAAATGGTTGTTAAAAAGCAAGGGCCCCTGTGGTGGGAAGCTGATGCTGGGGCCACCGGCAGCAGGGGTGGATCAGCTGCTCCAGGGCTGGGCTGTTTGTCCCTTTAGCTTGCCCTGATCACTGGCTTTGCTTCTGATTGCTGTAGGGAGGCAGATGTCCACCCATGTGCAAACCATAAGCCCTAATGGATGCTGAAACTCTTAAGGCAAGGTTTTGACCGAGGACTCTGCCTTATATTCTGTGAAGCCCATCAGGTGCAGAGCTGTATTAGCAAATTGCTTGCTCTCGTGGATCTGGAGGCTGCTGAGCTCAACAGGGTACAGTCAGGAGAGGACCCTTGGCCAACTCTAGGAGCTTGGCAGGGGCGGGGGGGTTGCAGCCTGGCTTGGAGCTGGGGTTTCTGAGCGAAAGCTGCAGTGGCTGCCCAGCTCCCCTTGGACATGTTATCTGCAGCACCCAGCAAAACCCTTCAGTTGCTGTTCAGATGTTGGTGAAGCTTCAGGTGTTTTGTGCTCAGTTTCCAGTAATTTCTTTCTCTGATTATTTCATTTCAGCAAAACCATTTGAGAGTGGACAGTACCTGGACATCTATGGAATTACAAGAGACCAGGCTGGAGAATATGAATGCAGTGCAGAAAATGATGTCTCAGTCCCAGATGTGAAAAAAGTAAAAGTCACAGTAAACTGTAAGTCGTGTTGTTTTTTAATCAGTAAATCCAATGGAGAAGAGGGATGTGGCTGAGAAGAAAAGTCTAATGCAGAGAACTGCTGCTTGTGGTGAAACTGTAGTGTGTTTAGGTTTTGTATTACAGTAGCAAAATGACCTGTGCTATTTGATGTATGAGTTAGTCTTATCAAAGGAAGGGAAAATGAGATTAAGGTTCAAATCCTCCTTTTGTCTGCCAGGGGACAGTAGTGCTGGCGTGCTGTCACAGGCTTTGCAGCAGGTGCTCTCGTTGGACTGTGGTGCTGAGACTCAGTTTTTGGAGTAATTTTTTGAGTAATTATCTGAGTAACTTCTGAGGACTGCTGTGGTTGTTGGGCTGAAGTGTTTCTGATTTAATTTGCCACAGTTGTGCAATAATATAAGGAGACGAGTAACTTCTTAAAATTCTGTTTGGGTGATTAGATGGCGATCAATCTCCGTGGAAATCTGAAGTACTCCCAGTAAAGGCAGCAAGTTGTTTTGTGCTGTTGCCCTGATATGAAGGCAAGGAGGACTTTGCTGCTGCACAGTTCTGCTGTAGCAATCTCAGTGGATGGTGGGTAACACCAGGAACTGCCAAGGTAGCCTGTTACCTGTCCCTGCAGCCTGTCAGGTCTGACCTTCTGGGATTTTGACACTGAGGAGGTGTTTCTGACTTGGGACTGAATTTGGTTTAGCACTTGGTATGACACGAAACATTCAGAACAGTGTTCTTTTTACCTCCAACATTAAAAAAAAAAAAAAGGAAAGAAAATGGGAATAATTACTCTCATTCATTCTAACTATGAATTTTCTTAGGTTAAGTGCAATTATGCAGCTTGTAATTTGTAACAGTTTCCAGTTTGAAAATTGCTGTGGCATCTTTACTGACCACAATTTTTTGAGATCTCGGCTTTCTGTCTCCCTTCACAGATCTTGTCCCTATCAATATGCTGTAGGTAGCAAAGCCCCTTGTCCCCGGGTCACTGCAGAGCTGGAGGTGGGAGTGGGAGAGGTGGGTTGTTGCAGGTGGGTTGCTAATGGGGCTAGCTGTGCTATCCAGGTGTTTACGGGATCTTCCCATGTTCAAGAGCTGACTGGGCTCTCTTAATTTACGTGACATCAGGGTACTTGTAGTTCATGATGTCCTGGAACATGGTGGATCAATGCACTAATGCTTATAGAATAGCTCGATCATGTGCTGGGTCTCACAGACAGCTTTCTGTACTGCTTGGTCATGTAGGCTAGTGGCACTGGATGCAGATCCTGCTTTCCCTTTGCTGCTGAGACTTTTGCACTGAGGCTCTGGTATAATGTGCTGTGACCATCAGTCCTTGCTTACAAGTCACAAGGACAGACTTCAACTGCAGAGCAGCTCAAGGAGGCTCATGCAGAGTCCATCGCCATTCTCACGACTGCTTTGCCCTCGTTGATGTGTTTCCACCTACATCAGTTTTGCTGAATTCCTGAAAGCAGGCAGTGCCCTAAAAATGAGGGGCTATGTGGGAGGAAAAGCCACAATGGATGGTGTCCTATGGAACAAGTGAACATTATTTTTTGCACAGTATGTTGTTAGTGGAAGATTGTCAATAAGAGGAGTTGTGCAGATACTTGCATAGGTGCGCCCTGGGTGTTTTGAGGCAACACCTTTCACAGTACACAAGCTGTACTCAAATATTTTGTGTTGTTAGATAAATAACTTGCAATAGGGACCATAAGAAATGGTGAGCTCAGTCTAGTTTTAGCAAAACAAATTGCATCTGTATTATATCATATCATGGGGATTTTAATAAGGGTGAAACTAGCTGTCTCAGAGGCTTTCTAAGTGTTCACAGAAAGGGAAAAGTTGGTAAGCCTGAGTAGCAGTTGTTTTGGTGTTTGAGGGGTTTTTGTTTAAAAAAAAAAAAAAAAAGGCACAGAAGAGGTGGTAAACTCATGGAATCTCTCTTGCCTTCTGAGCAAGGATCTAGACTTACATGAGGTTTAGTTCAGATAAAAGCATCGACTTAGTTGGCCAAAGCCAAATCTCAAGCTTAAATGCAGTGCACAGCTGATGTGCTAGTTGGCGCGTGCTCTGCACCCCAGTTCATGTCAAAGCTGGAACTATTTCTGACCTCAGTTTACCATTTTCTTAACGTGAGTTTTGAGTCTGTCAGATATCTTTGTGGGTGGGAAAGATCAGCTTTGACAGCATTTGGAAGGTAAGGCTGAGCAGTGATGGTTTGTTCCTGTACCAGCCCTTGGCTCTTCCTCCAGCCCCCGCTATAGGTCTGCATGATGAGCAAAGGTCTCACTGTGGCAGCTGGGAGCGGGACCAACAACTCCCGTGTGGCCAGCAGCAGAGGCTGGGTTGCAGGTGGGATGGGATTTGCTCTCCCTGAACACCAAGCAAGGGGGTAATGGGAGAAACAGTGTGCCTGTGTCAAAGGATGTGCAGGCTCAGGAGGTCATATTCCTCCTTGGTGCATACCACAAGCAAGAGGTGCTCAGGTTTGACTGCAGCACACAGTGTAAGGGTACCTCTATCTGCAGGGAGAAACATGTTACAGACTACTAAATCAACCAACAAGCTCAGTAAATACTTGAAAAAAGTGTCCAAGCTGATCTTTGTCCTGATTCAGCTACCTGGGCTAAGCTGGAAGTGTCCTTGGCCATAGTGTGGATGCATGTGGCATTATACCAGGTTCAGGCAAACTTTTAAGTCTGCACTGGGGACATACAGAGTTGTTGGTTGTTTGTTTGGGTTTTTTTTAATATTTCTTGCAACTAAAGAAGAAAACGGGGGGGGGGGGGGGGGGGGTTGTAAAATTGGGCAATGTAAAACTAGGACCTGGCTACAGCATGAAACAGTTTGTATACGTGAATGATTTGTCGTAGTCAGCTAATTGCTAATGCACTGTTGTTTGGATTTGTATGTTGTCCCCTCGCCAGTTAAGCGCAATGCAAAAGCACTCCGAACATCTGCTCCCTGCTGATGATGCTCATCTGTTCTGACCAGGCAGAAAAATGGCTCGTGGCATTTAGGAGAGGGTCACGCTGGAGGTGGCCAATGCTGAGAGCTTGTCTTGTTGTCATCAGCCCTGTGGGCGCGTTGTTTGTGGCGGGTGGGATGTGCTGCAGCACTGCGGTGGCCAATGCTGCTGGGATGAGCTTCGCTTCGCAGCACCTCGGCATGGGCAGTCCCATTCAAAAAGGGATGTTGTGTGCATGATCAAACCAGCAGAATTATGCCCGTTTGCTGTCTGTTGAGTTGGCCTGGAAGGGCAGCTTTCTGTCAGTAAAAGCTAAATATTTCATTTAGGAGAGCTATGGTTTGTCTACTATTCACTATTTACAAGAAATGTCTATCAAATTTGTTTTAAATCTGGAAAGATCTTAACAAGAGAAATATAAAAGAAGAGAGGAAGCCTTCAGGTCCTTTTGTTACACTGGGTTGGGCAGTTTCCTTAGTCAAATATTCTTCAGTCCTGTTTTTTCTTTTAAGAAAATATGTGTTCATTTGTCTAACAAACTAATAAGAGAAAGGCTTTCTCCCTCCCACCCCCCAAAAAAAAATCCCATTCCTTTATTTTCTCTGGTTTTGCAAACTTTTTTAATTCTCCTGCTAATGCCCTGCCACATGGGCTCAGCACAAGCTCTGCAGCCTCTGCTGCTCCTCACCCACCCAGGTGTTATTCGGTTATTGTACTTCTGGTACAGGGATGTTGTGCCCATCTGCCAGGTACCTCCACCGCGTGTTTAATTCCACTTACTCGAGATTTGGTTCCTCAGCGAGCGTCACTGAAGCTGTGACCAGCACACCAAACTCCCCTCCTTTAGTCTTACAGGGATCCTGTAACTTTACAAAATAACTATCACCTTTCCCACCTGCAGTGCTTACAATAGAAAATACTCTTGGAAGTAACGTGTGTGGCTTATGCTTCACCTCCTGCTCTTGCACCCTTATGATCTGATGGGGTATGGGCAGTCATGTGCTGTAGAAGCACCACATCATCTCAGAGTCTGAGTAAACCCTGTTTCATCACTGTGTCCCTCCACCGTGTCTTGTACAGCAACATCTTGACGTACGATCTCCAGCACACAGAACGATGATGGTACAGCACTACATTTGCATGAATACGATCGCTTAACCGCTGCTTCTGACAATTTTTAATCCTGTTTCCCTGTTATTAAAAGGAACGTTCTTTACTCCAGACCTGATAACTGTGAATAAATCAAGGTTTTATTATGCCCAGTTAATAGAATGTATCAATGAGCCCTGAGCGGTTACGGTGGATATAAGCATAATTTTGAATATGGATATTCATCGCATATAGCTGTTGTTCAGTCATCCAAGCATGTACAAGAAAATTACCAGGTTTAAATTACTTTCTGAATTTCAAGTTTCTTGGCTGGGCAACTTCCAACCATACATAAACAACCAGCTTGCTGTCTGCCTTACAGCACATAAATTATAACTCTAATGACTTTGCAAGGTTTTTTCTTTATACTGTTTCATATTGCATAATCTACATTTTCTACTTAATTTATGTCTGTCCCCCATAATTTCCCTTTTAAAAATGGTGGCCTGAGAATCTGTGGTGCATTTGTCTGCTTGAATTCGGGGCGGGGGGGGAAGGAAGAGAAAAGAAATTGAGACTGTGGTTTATGAAGAAGGAATACTATACTAAATCAAGTTAAAATAGATAAGATATAATCCAATTTCATTTCACAAGTACATCTTATTAGCATTTTCCATTACATTTTATAAAGCAAACTGATTTATAGATTATTATATTGAATCCCACTTTGAACGAAACAGTGTCTGGATTAGCAAGACTTTAATATGTCATCCGAAAGCTGGTCTGAAACTGTATGTACGGTACTGTAGCTTCGCTGACTCTCTTCTGGTTTATTAGTGCCGTGCTTAAAAAATATTAAAGGCAGTTGCTAAATGCGAGAATCTCCAGAAGCATTGAGGCCATGCCGAGATGATGAAGAGTGAGATGTGTGCATCATGAA